TGTCTCAAAAAGACAAAAAAAAAAAATGTGTGTGTGTGTGTGTGTGTGTGTGTGTGTGTGTGTGTGTGTGTGTGTCACAGCATGTATGGGGAGGTCAGAAGACAACTTTCAGGAGTTGGTTCTTCTTTACCCATGGATCCCAGGGTGGAACTCAGGTCATGAGGCTTGCACAGCAATCACTCTCACCTGCTGAGCTATCTCTCTGACCTTTTTGTTTTGGAGGACAGAGTCTCATGTATCCCAGACTGGCACTGAACTGTTTATATAGATGAGAATGACTTCAAACTTCTGATCTTTCTGCCTCCACCTCTCACATGGTAGGATTACAGGCATGCAGCACCATGCCTAGTTTATTCAGTGCTGGGGACTGAACCCAGTGTTTTGTGCACGTTAGGAAAGCACACTACCAAATGAGCTACTGCCTCAGACTCTTGCTTGGCTTGTTTATTTTTTTTCCTGTCTCCTAAAAATTTGTTCTTATTGAATTTTTGTGTATTTTATACAGAATATCCCAAAAGATCTTAACCATCTTTACACCCCCATCCCCACTTGGCATACTCCCACAGCCCCTGCAACTGGAATCCATATACTCTCATTCATATTAAGGCCCAATGTGTCAAGTCAGTGTCCCCAGATGTCTCCCTATGCAAGTCCATCCACTGAGGTCTAGTCAGCCTACCTAGAGTCTCTTGTTTTAGGAAGATCAGCTACTAATGTTTCCTCAGCTAAGATTAGGGTCTGCTGATCATTTCCCCAGTTCTATGCTGGGTTTTGTCTGAGTTTGTATGGGACTTGTGTAAACAGACACCACTATCATAGAATCATATGAGAAGGGTCCAAAGAGCTTGTAGGACTCTGTTTCTATATGGTCCTGCACCTCCTCCCTGGCTCTTACAATCTTTCCACCCCTTCTTCTGAGATGGTCCCCGAGTCCTGGGTGGGTATAGTTTAATATAGGAGTCCTGTCCATGGACCAGCAATCTGCAGACTATGTTTTGGCCATTTGTGATCTTTGGTGTTCCCGTCCCTCTGTTGCATGAGGGATCTTCACTAATGAGAATTGATTCATTAGTGTCTTCTTCATTACCCCTGTTCTATGTTCCATGTGCCTTAGATGTAAAGGCTGCATTATAGATGTGTGGCTTAGGCCTGAGCAATTAATGTCTGTGTGTGACCAGTTGTGGTACTTGGTAATAGTCTCTGACTGGTACAAAATAAGCTTCTTTGATTATTTAATTTGAAACAAGGCTTCACTAGGTAGCATGGATGGCCTAGAACTATGTAGACTATGAGGACCAGGATGGCCTTGAATTCAGAGGTTTGTCCACCTGCTTCTGCCTCTTGAGTGCTGGGACTAAAAGCATGCATGATCACACTCAGCCCTATTTTTATTTTTATTTTTTTATTTGCAGACTGTCTGACTAAAGTGCTCACGCTTGCTTTGAACTCACTCTACATCCCAGGAAGACTTTGAATTTGAGATCCTCCTGAGTAGGTCTCCTCTACAGGGCCTGGTTTCTTTTTAAAAATTTAATTCACACAGTGAATGTATGTATTTATGGGGTTCTATGTGACAATTCAATACATGTATACAGGTATAATGATCTGACTGGGGTAACTGGCATATCTTCCGCCTCAGACATAATTTATGTTGGGGGAATTCACTTCTCTACTAGTTATTTTTAACTATTTGATTATTGCGAAGCCCCTGCTTTTTTTCCCCCCCTTCTCTGGCTGGCCTGGAACTTGCTATGTAGAGAGCAGGCTAATCTTGGACCCACAGAGATCCATCTGCTTCTGCCTCTTGTGTGCTGGAATCAAGGTATGCAAAGCTACATCCAGCCACATCCCTGTTTTTCTACCCTTCCTGGCCAGGTGCCTGCTTCCTTCTCAAGGTCTTGGCTGCTGTGGGGATAAGAGCCATATTGTTATGGTAAACCATGCCACCTGCTTCCAAGAAAAGCCCAGGGGGAGGGAGGGGAGCAGGATAATCTAAAAGGCAATAAAAAATTCTGCACTGAAGTATTGATAGTAAAAGAGCAGGCCACTTCAGTTTAAGATCATACTCAGACTGATGTGCAGGGAAACAGCTTCCCAAAGGGCTGCTTCTAGGGAAGCTGAGGGTAGAGTGGTTGCTGGCTAATCCACAACAATCTGAGTTTGATTCCCAGTAGAAGTGGGAGAGTACTGACCCCACAAAGTTGTCCTCTGACCCCTATGTTCATGCTCACACACACACAAATTTTTAAAAACATTTTTAAAGGAATTAAGTGTGGTCGTGCCATTAGTCCTAGCCCCTGGGAGGTGGATACTGGAGGATCAAATCCAATCTCAAAAAAACCCCAAAAACAAACACTACCACCCCTCCCCCCTCTCCTGGAAAAACAAAAACAAAAACGATGACTACTGAGCTACACAGGAAGTTTGAGGCCAGTCTGAGCTACATGAGACTTTGTAGCTCAACATAAATAAAAGGCTGGGGATTGTTTGCCTAGCATACATGAAGCTATGGGTTCTATCCCTAGGAACACACACATCAAAAACAGCAGCACATTACCACAAATCTCCTATTGAATTCCTTAGAAGGGAAACATGAGGTTATGATTGAGGATGCCAGTTTGTTCTGCAAGCTCTGCAGTCTCCAGGCACATCATATGCATTGCAATTCATATTAACCACCAGGACCAATGAGGAAAACTGATGCCAGTTATTCTTTGTTCTAGTCATTACTCTTCTTTTGTCTTTTTGAAGCAGGGTCTCCCTGTAGCCCCAGCTGTCCTGGAACTATGTAGACCAGGCTAGCCTTGAACTCAGAGATCCACCTGCCTCTACCTCCCAAGTGCTGGGATTAAAGGCATGCGCCACCACGCCTATTTTTGATTTTATGTGTATGCATGTATTGCCTGCATATAGCATATAGTTAAGTGCACCCATGTTGTGCAATGCTCTCGAAGGTCAGAAGCTGTCAGATCCCCTGGGGCGGGAGTTATGGACAGTTAAGTACCATGTGGGTGCTGGGATTCAAACCCCTGTCTTTTGCAAGAGCAACCAGTATTCTTAACCACTGAGCCATCCCTCCAGCCCCCTTTCAAGGTGTTTTAAAATTGCATTTGTTTGTGGATCAGTGGACAACTTGAAGCGTTTTCTATCATGTGGGTCCCAAAGATCAAATTTAGGTTGTCAGGCCTGAAGGCAGGTGCTCATCTTGCCCATCCAGACCCTCACTCAATCTGGAATTCTGATATTTACCTGAGATAGCATAGCCCATCTTAGCCTCTAGCAATACTGGCTCAGCCTCCTTCCTGAATACTGGGATTACAAGTACATAACACACCATGCCCAGTTTCAAGAAATCTTAGGCCAGGTGTGGTGGCACATGCCTTTAATCTTAGCACTCAGGAAGTAGAAGCAGTGGATCAGCCTGGTCTACCAAAGTTTCAGGCCAGCTAGGGCTACGGGGAAAAAGAAAACTTCAGCTCTTTCCAACATCTCTAAAGCCTCCCTCCTAGTAGCATTTCCCACATAACGGGTATTTCATCAAGAGAAACTAGGACCACAAAGTAAACAGCACTGATATGCAGTGGTGAGGATTTGAAGCAACAGGGTCTTGATATGTAACTATATGCTGGTCAGGAATTTTAGGTGATAATTTTTTTGGTCTTTTTGAGACAGGGTCTCCCTTATAGCTCCTGTTGGCCTGGAACTCAAGAGATCCACAGCCCTCCTCTGCCTCAAATGCTGGGATTAGGTGTACACCACCACACCCAGTAGCTTCACTTTTTGAACGAAGCAGATTATAGGTATCACACACTAGCCCCCAAAACCCACTTCTAAAAAAATAGCCTAGGCTGAAGCCCAAGTATCTTTTCCTTGTTCAAATCCCAATTCATTTGCTGATTGAGATCAGTGAGTCAGTCTTAAGCCCTGTTGAAAGACATTCCAAGAGAAAACTAGAAAGGATTCTAGTAAAACTGTCAAAAGCTGGTGACTTGAGTGGAATCACTTTTCTACTGCCCCTAATGTCACAACCTTTCATCCAAAGTATTTCAAGTTTAACCAATACTTAATGGGCAAGAACCAGCACCCATCTTTAAAACTCAGCTGCCCCAAAACACTATTACAACATACACATATGGATAGGCAAGTACTTACATAGCAAGGGATGAGGTGTGGTGTGATCCTGACCTGCTACTGCCTTCAAGTGGGAAGATTAAAAAAAAAAAAACAAAAACCCAATTCTGCACTCTACAAAACTCCACCACCCCCAGCTGGAAAGGTATTTTTAAGTCAGCAAAATACCTGTGAAAAAAGCATTTAAAAACCTTAAGTTGACAGCAACTTCAATTTAAACCTTTAGTTGGGAAAACGTGTGCATTCTTAACATATTCATACAGAAGCCTTCAAGTTCCATTGAAACTAAGTGGTATAATTTTGGGATTTGAAGATGCCAACCTTGCAAATGTGGTCACTATAAAGGCTTTTCTCATTACCAACCACTCCAAAGGTCGTCTTCCAATCCAAGTATTACCACCACACCACCCAACATAAGCAACCATTCTAATGTGTTAATAGGCTGGAAAGAAAATCCCAGCCCAACCCAGCTACACATCCTATTATAAATTGCTTGCACTTTTAATGCTTTGCTTTTTTAAAAAGTGTATTTTTATGTGTACCAGTGTATTGCCTGGATGTATGTTTGAGTACACCCCTGTCATGCAATGCCAAGGTCAGAAGAGGGCTTTAGAGGGATTGGGATCCCCCTTGGAATTCCTCTGGAGTTAAGGGCCACTCGTAGCCAGCATGTGGGTGGCTGGGAATCGAATTCAGGTCCTCTGCAAGAGCAGTTAGTGCTCTTAAGCGCTAAGCCATCTCTCCAGGCCAGCTGTTAACTTATAACAAAGCATTCAACCAGCGACTCAATTTTGTCCACAATACCAATCAAGTTAAAATACCTGCCCCAATCAAAATAAAAGCCACTACAAAATTCAACAGACACCATATATGCTTACCATGCAACAAAACCTTTATTAACGTTTTTAACAGAGGTTCAGCTATTACTGAAACTTTTTAATTTCTAAACTTAAATTGGGCAAATGGCTGTAGTGCAGAGTATTGCCATTGCTGCCCACTGGGGATGCAGACTGAAGAATTAATAGCCACCCCGGAGACGAAGGACGAGGTGCAGGGTGGACTCCTTCTGGATGTTGTAATCAGATAGAGTGCGGCCATCTTCCAGCTGCTTGCCGGCGAAGATCAGCCTCTGCTGGTCAGGTGGGATGCCCTCCTTGTCCTGGATCTTGGCCTTCACGTTCTCGATGGTGTCGCTGGGCTCCACCTCCAGGGTGATGGTCTTGCCGGTCAGGGTCTTCACGAAGATCTGCATGCCTCCCCTGAGACGGAGGACGAGGTGCAGAGTGGACTCCTTCTGGATGTTGTAGTCAGACAGAGTGCGGCCATCTTCTAGCTGTTTGCCGGCAAAGATCAGCCTCTGCTGGTCAGGTGGGATGCCCTCCTTGTCCTGGATCTTGGCCTTCACGTTCTCGATGGTGTCGCTGGGCTCCACCTCCAGGGTGATGGTCTTGCCGGTCAGGGTCTTCACGAAGATCTGCATTTTGACCTAGTTTAAGATGCAAATTGTCACTTCTAATTTTAAACGTTAATAATTTGTTCCCCCAAATGCCTTAAAATAAGGGCCGCGAGAATCACTGAGATCCAGGCAAGCCGGGTTTACATAGCGAGTTCCAGGGTAGCTGGGGTACATACAGACCCCTGTATCTCAATCCCCGCCCCAAGTTCCCACAATCAATTAACAAAAATCCCCGATTCCACCTAATCAGTTTAGTCAGGGTTTCAAATCGTTAACCAATCTTAACACTAGGATGGAAGGGACGTGCTGGCGCACGTCTTTCTTTCGAGAGGGACAAGGCTAACATAGTCTAGCGATTTCCAGACCATCTGGGGCTAACAGGGAGACCTACCGAGTCTCAAAAGAAAAAACGAAAGCAACCTCCCTCCCCTCAAGATAGCACTCAGGACGGCAGGATATTTTTACACTCCCCGCGCTAATTTCCCCAATCCTAAACGTTATGAACTAAGCCAAACCGTAAGACAATAATATGAGGAAGACCAGTTCAACTAGAAGGCACCCAGAAGCCTGAATGCCTCTTTTGTGCCTTCCCCCACTGGGTTAACGGCGATGGGCTCTCCATCGGTTAGGCTCCGTTACACTCCATGGGGCGCGCGCCAGGGCCGCCCCCGCTCCACTCACGCGAAGGCGGCCCACTCCTCCCAGAAGGCTCGCGGCCTGGTCCTCCCCTCCCCCACC